TTTCAAGTTTAGGAAGACACACTTTTAATAGTTGGAGTGGGGGACTCAAGAAAGATAGTTGAGGTCAGGAACAAGAACAACGGCCATTGCTGGCTGACACGCCTTTCTTGCTAGGATGGGTTGGTGATCGAAGGTGACGATCAATTCCTTGTACCCATTTCTGCCCTCGGCTTCCTGATATGATTTAATAAAAAAACTGTTGATGAGCGGTTATGCACCCCGAGGACTTAAAGTAGAAATGACTGGTTGTTTTTCATATATAAATGTTTAGATTTGTAATTCTTTAAAGATTTATTACTTTTTTAAAAGATTTATTTATGTAAACAGTGTTATGTCTACATATATGTCTGCATGCCAGAAGAAGACACCAGATCTCATTATAGATGGTTGTGAATCACCATGTGGTTGCTGGGAATTGAACTCAGGACCTCTGGAAGAGCAGCCAGTGTTCTTAACCTCTAAGCCATCTCTCCAGCCCTCAAGATTTTTTTTATAAGATTACCTTTTTTTTTTTTTTTTTTCCTTCCCGAGACAGTGTTTCCCTGTGTAGTTTTGGTGGCTGTCCTGGATCTTGCTCTGTAGACCAGGCTGGCCTCGAACTCACAGAGATCTGCCTGGCTCTGCCTCCCAGTGCTGGGATTAAAGGCGTGCACCACCACTGCCCAGCAAGATTACCTTTTGAGATAAATAATAAAGTGATTGAGCTTTTCTTTGTAACCGAAAAAATGCAGCCTGCCAGGAAAAGAACTGGCTGAGAAAAACACCTTGTTTGCTCACATTCTGTTAACCTATAACAAGTTGCTTGGACATGAATATATGTGGGTTCTTGGGAATAATTTATTTTTTATCTATAATACATGAAATGTTTAATCATGTAAGGAAAATGGGAACATGTTGTTTTTTTACCTGTATTCATCATAATCGTTCACCTGAAAAACAGAATGCAACCACATTGTAATTTTTATATTGCTTGAAAGATTTTGCTGGGATATATAAGCTGAAAAAGAAAAATAAAGATAGAGATGATAAAGAGACCCTGAAGATGTGTGTGTGTGTTTTCACTTTTTCTTGGGCCCCAAAAGAATTAAGTTTTACTCCCTCAGACAGAAAAGTCAATTGAGTGACTAGTCCACCAACTCTGTGGCCCTTCCAATTCCTGAGCTGCTAAAGGCTGGTTCTCACAGCAGCAGTCTGTTGGGGGATATCTTTTTGTACGCTATGAATATATGTTGTTTCCATTGGTTAATAAATAAGCTGCTTTGGCCTATGGCAAGGCGCCTTAGAAGCAGGCAGGAAATCCAAGGAGAGGGACAGAAAAGAGAAAGGCAGAGTGAGGGAGACGCCAGACTGCTATGCTAGGAGCAACATGTAATGAGATGCAGGTAAAACCACGGAATACGTGGCAATACACAGATTAATAGTTATGGGTTGAGATAAACTATAAGAGCTAGCTAGCAAGAGGTCTGCCATAGGCCATACAGTTGATAATTAACATTAAGCCTCTGAATGATTATTTTACAATCGGCTGAGGGACTGCGGGGCCAGGTGGGACCTGAGAAACTTACCACTACAGCAGTCTTTGTTAAAGGATGGTGCAGAGAGAATCCTTTGATATCCTTTTAGGCAGGGAAGAGTTACAGTATTGCTGTGGGGAGGGGAGCTCCACAGTTAATATATTTGGTAAACTACATAGCAGCCAGTATCTCAGAGATCTCTGATTGCCTTAGCTAGGCATTCTTAAATTCTTCTGGCAGTGGCTGTGGGCTATTTTTTTCTTCCTTTGTAATTCATAGTAAGGAACAAGGGGGCGCTGGGAAGGTGGCCCAGTGATATGAGCACTTTCTGGGAAAGCATGAGAAACTGACTTGGGATCCTGTGTACCCACATAAAAGCCAGCTGGGGTAGTAACCTCAGCACTGGGGGACTGGAGACTGGATCCTCAGGGCTTGCTGACTAGTCCAGCTGAAAATGGTAAACTACAGGTTCAGTGAGAGATCTTGCTTAGAAATAAAACAAAACCAAACCCCACAGAACAGCTGGAGCATGGCAGAGGAAAATACCCTACCTTTGGCTTCCACATTTTCAAACACAGACAAGTGCACCTACATATACATATTCATACACTCACAAAAAGAAACAATGGGAATAGCTGGGCAGTGGGGGTGCGCACCTTTAATCCCAGCACTAGGGAAGCAGAAGTCAGTGGGTCTCTGTGAGTTCGAGGCCAGCCTGGTCTACAGAGTGAGTTCCAGGAGAGCCAAGGCTGTTACACAGAGAATCTCTGTCTCAAAAAACAAAACAAACAAAAAAAAGAAAATGTGTACTGTAACCCAGTACTTACACTTACACACACACACACACACACACACACACACACACACACACACACACACACACACACGAGTGCCTTTATGTTATAAAATATACATGGTTATTTGTTTAAAACTAAAGTTTCCTAAAAGAATACTCATGTGGCATGAATGGATAACTTTTTATACCACTTAATCCTCTAAAATGATTTCATAGCCACATCAATGTCCATTAGACTAAGAACTATTTCAGGTGCTATGAGAAATAAGCCATTAGGTGCCTGAAGGGTAAGATTTAAATAGCAGCAAAAGATGATAAGGGAAATGATGTAAGGGGTACAGAGAATGAATGAGAATAGAAAGGTCTTGCTAAGTAGACCAGGCTGGTCTCCTGAGTAGCTGGGATGGTCTGTGCCACCAGGTGGGACTGATTCTACTTTAGGAATGTTGTTGGCATATGAAGGAAGTTGATAGTAGGTAACCATAGAAATGGGGATTAAAACTAAACAGAGATGTAGGGTTTAAATCCAGAGTAGTTTAAATCATGATCGAGTGAGTGGTTCTGTGGGGGTTTGAATAGGAATGGCCCCCATGTGTTTGAATGCTTGGCCCATGGGGAATGACACTATTAGTAGGTATAGCGTTGTTGGAGGAAGTGTGTCACAGCCCCTTCCTGCTGCCTGCAGATCAAGCCGCACAACTCTCAGCTCCTTCTACAGCACCATGTCTGCCTGCATGCCACCATGATTCCTATCATGACGATAATGGACCTCTGGAACTGTAAGCCAGGCCCAATGAAATGTTTTTCCTTTTGTAAGAGTCATGGTGTATCTTCGAAGCAATAGAAACCATAACTAAGGCAGATTCCTTATGAGAGTAAAAAACTACTAAAAACAGACAAAACTACTAAGAAAGATGAGGACCGAAGCCTGGTGTGGTTATGCACATCTATAATCCCAGCACTCAGGAGCCTGAAGGCAGGAGATTTCAAATTTCTAGTCCACCTTGGTCTCCGGACCAAGTTTCTTCAGGTTAGCTCATGACAAGATTCTGACACAAAAACCAACCAAGCAAACAACCTGAGAAAAATAACATTCATTTGGCAATAAATATTTAATTAAAAGGTACTTGGGTAACAGATGAAGCCAAACTCAAATATGGTTAAGCTGTGAGGGAAGAGGAGAAAGAAAAATTCAAATTTGTCCTGACCCTCCACCACCTAATCTTACTTATCTTGCCCCCAAAGCACTGGTAAGGGTCAGGTTTCCTTGAATCATCAGTCTGTTTCGTGACCTCCACGCAGCGTTGTGAGTGAGTAAGCCCAGCTCTTCTTAGACAACTGTCTTTAGTTCCAAGCTAACATTCGGTTGTTGGACTCTTAAGCAACGTCAGCGCCGGGTACCAGTAACTGCGCCGGGCTTGTCTGCGCTGGATGCGGATGCTGCCGCCGCTGCCGCGGCGTTCCTGACCCGGATGTGGGAGGCCAAGGCAGTGAACATTTCCTGAGCGGTGAGGTGGGCGCCCCGCATAATCAGCCGATACCCATCTCCTGGGGAAGATGCAAACCGATGAGTCAGGGAGCCCCCGAGTCCGCAGGGCTAGGGCTGCGCTCCGCCGCCGTCGCCCGCCCGCGTCCCAGCCAGACCTACCGAACAACACGTCCACGCAGGGCTCGGAGCCGTCGTGCCTCACGTCGGCGATCACCGAACAGTTGAGGTTCGTGGCACGGACTTTTTCGCTGCTCACCGCCTGGAGAAAGGTCCTGCGGTGGGAGGGCAGCGTGAGCGCGCCGGGGGACCCGGGAGCCTGGAGCGGGGACGAAGGGGCGTGCAGCGCGGGGCAGGGAGAGCCGCTCCGAGGCGCCCTGGAACTCGGGCAGGGGGTCGAGCGTGCGCGCGCGCGCAGGCGTCGGGAGCGCGGGCGCCTCCCACCTCCCCGGAACCCGTACCTTGTGGCCTCCACGTTCTTCTCAAACGGGCAGAACTGAACTCGAACCAGCTTGACCGGCCGCAGTCCGAGCCGAGCTAAAGCCGCCGCCATGGTTCCCTCTGGCCCGGAAGGAGTAGGGCTGGGGATCGCTTTATGGAAACGGACCGCTTCCGGCGGCCTCTGCGGGACTTTTAGCGGTTGCCTTCCTGGGCCGCCGAGGGATCCAGAGTGGGCGGGTCGCAAATTCTTCAACCCTTAGCAGTACCCTGTGCCACACACGGCGTAGACAGTGAATGTGCAAAAAACCCCCCGTTTCCACGAAAATACGTCGTCTCCTGCAGCTTTCCCCCTTCAGTATCCTGCTGCTACATCTAGGTCAACACCATCCTAAATCCTGGCTCCTTCCAACGAGGGGATTACCACAGCAGGGATTGTCCACCTACCAGGAAGCCTGGTAACTGTACAGCCAAAGCTTAAATGTTGTTACAGTCCTACAGCCTCATGACTGAAAATAGAAACGTGGAAGGGTTAAGACAGGCCCTCCACGTGTAGGAATGCTTGCTCCATCTGTGTTTCCTCATGAATTAACTTTAGCCTTGTTCCTGGGATTCAAGAGAAAGCATGTAGCTTGCTTTGGTCTCCTGAGAGCCAAACCTGTAGACCTAGCTATTTCTAGCTCATGTCTTCATTGTTGCTGACGTCTAGATTTCATGCTGCAGTTTGCCCATTACTCTGGATTGCAGGTACTAGGGTGATCTTGGATCCAGTTCCAGACTGTGTACTTTATGTATGTGTTCTCCCAAGCTCCCAGTTTTAAGCCTCTCTAACATAAGGTTCCTTGACTGGGGCTTAACAGTCCGTGATTTGGAACTCCCCATCCTAGGCAACTTAGGGCTCAGGACTGGTCCCCAGGCAGGAAAGAAAGGGCAGGTGCCAACGAGGGTGCTGGTGCAGCCTCAGGGCAAGCCAGGCTTGCTGGTTTCCAGCCAGGTAAGCCTCAGGACTAGGTCCTCCTCCTCCCTGGGTGCTTAGCAGGTGCATGTTCTGGGCTGGGGAGACTACAGGCCGTAGAGGGGGTGCCAAACTTTCCAGGCTGTTGAGGTTGCTGGTGGGGAGTTCAGTGGTCTGGACGTCATTACAAAAACCTGGGAAGGCAGGAGTGGACAGCAGATTGGTGGGTGATGTTAATGCTAAGTCAATGGTGAGATGGGGCTGTGGGTCTCTTAAAAGCAGTGATGGAGGGATTTAGGAAAACCTGGGGTTGGGGCAGCGTAATGACTCACAGCAACAGCGAGTCCTTCTGTGGACTGGATTCTTGGGCAGGGGCTGCTGCAGGAGACAGAGCAGGGCTCCATCTAGCCGCTGGAAGATGCTGAGTGAGAGCAGAGTCTGGCGAAGCTCCCGCGACAGGCCCCACTGCTCCTGTTCCAGAACTTCCCTGATCACTCCGAAGTCTTGTTTGAGCTGCAGCGCCCCCTGCAGGCTAGATGTCCAGGTACAATGTGGCCGCGGGACCCTTCTGCCTCCCCAGACTGCTCTGCCCAGATGTTCTCTCCATTTTCCCTGTTGACATTCGCCCTCTGCCACTACCGTCTTTCCTTCCCACCTGAACCGGATCCCATGGGTGAGGATGTGGTCAAGCCAGGCACCCAGGACGGCTGTCAGTGCCTGGCCGAGGGGAGGGGCTTGGGCTTCGGGTGGCAGTCCCTGCAGTCCTTGTAACACAGGCTCCAACACAGCGCAGACCACCGTCCCAGCATACTCGCTAGGAGCCCGGGCATGTTCTGGAGTGAGAGAAGAGAAAGGGCAGACTGTGAGACTCTAGACATCCAATGTGGGGGCTGGGGATTTAGCTCAGTGGTAGAGCTCTTGTCTAGCAAGTTCAAGGCCCTAGGTGCGGTCCTCAGCTCTGGAAAAAAAAAAAAAAATCCAATGGGCACCAGCGGAGGGGCACAGAAGGTAAGGGCAAGAGTGGCGACAGTGGTGTGGAGCCACTGTTGGGGGCTTGAACCATTCACACACTGGGAACCCCGGAAGGAGAAGATGGACATGGGAGGTGACCAAGACAGTGGGCTGTGTGTGTGTGTGTGTGTGTGTAGGGGGTCGTGTTGCTTAGTCAGAAAGACTAGCGTTCGTGAAGACGTCCTGGGTTTCATCCCCAGCACTACAAAGAAAGAAAGAAAACTTACCAGGACACAGCCGAAGCCTCCAGTATCGACCCCTTGGCATGTGGAGCTTGAAGCCCTGTGTGGCTTGTTTATGGCATTCTTGGAAAAAGAGACTCAGCGACTCTTCGGGCAGGTGCTGCATGGGGAGGAGGAGAGTCAGAAGGGTTTACCTGTTAGGTCGATGAGATGGCGCTTCTCCCATCTGAGGCCTCAGCGTGGGGTCTGTACAACCCCGAGTCCATGCATCACTGTGGGAGCCTGGGCACTTTCTAAGGAGAAATGTCACAACTTTAACTGAATTTTCCATGAGGTCTGGACCCAAACTCTGCACAATATGTAGGATTACCAGTTCTTAGGAGTCAAAGGCACATGACAAGTCAGGCATGTTGGGCATGTGCTTGTGCGGAATGCTCCTTTACACTGTGTGAACATTGGTCACTGTTTAATTAAGAAGCTGACTGGCCTGTAGCTAGGCAGGATAAGGTTAGGTGGGAGAATCAGACTAAGAGAATGCTGGGAAGAAGAAGGAGCAATTTCAGAAATTGCCAGCCAGACTAGGAAGAAGCAACATGAAAAGTACATAAACAAGGTAAACGAGCCTTGGGGAAGCACATAGATGAATAGAAATGGGTTGATGTTATAAGAGCTAGTTAAAAACAAGTCTACGCTATCAGCCAAGCATTTAAAATAAATAAGTCTCTGTGTGGTTATTTGGGAACTAGATGGTGGGACAGAAAAGTCCACCTACATGCCTGTACTCCAGGAATATCAGGAATTCATGACCAACCTCAGCTACATAAGTTCAAGGCCAGCCTGGACCCCATCTCAAGAAATAAAAACAAAACCCAAATGGGTTTATAACCTGCCAGAAGCATATAGTAGACAGATGGGTCTGTGTGCTCTGATCAGGCAGGGGCTGAGGCAAAGGGTGAAACTAAAATGACCTGGCTACATCCAAAAAGGAAGGCAGTGGATGCAGACCAGGACCCATGGCTGTGTCACTGTTCTGGCATCCAGGAGCCTTTGGAATGGCGGCCTTACATTAAGTATTCCTTGCCGTCTGCAAAGCGAATGACCCATAAAATAAAGAGGGAAGTATCGGCAGGCTGTGTTCCATGAAGGGGAGGAGACAGCAATAAAAAGGGTCTTTGTCTTGCTGCCTGTCTCGGAGGAGAGGAATCTAAGAAATGGGCATCATTTGGCAGAAGTGCTGTAAAAATGTGACTGAACACAGTGGCATACGCCGGTAACTCCAGGGTTGGGGAAGACGAAGCAGGAGAATCACAAGTTCTAAGGGTCAGCTTGATCTTACTCTCTCACAAAACACAAGAAGGGGAAAGGGGAGGGGAGAACAAAAGAGAAGAAAAAAGATCCGGATGTGTGGATCCCAGGAACCTAAAGCGGGAGAGGAAGCCACTGGGTTCCCGGCACATCTGGCTTGTTTAAGCCGAACCCCTTCCCTTCTTCTCCAGCATAGCATTTCCTCCTCCCTCCCATCTTGACAGGGTCTTACTGTCTAGCCCAGGCTGGCCTCAAACCCACAGTCCTGCTTCAGCCTCCGCAGTACTGGGTTAAAGGTGTACGCTAGCACGCCTGGCCTTGCCCCCAACAATTTAGTACTAACTTGCTTACTCTGCCAATTCCCACACTCCTTTCCTGACACACGCAGGCCCACACACATACAGAAGGGAGGCAGGGACACACATATGCTTACATATGGGGAGGACAACTTGCAGAAACTGGTTCTCTCTACCTCACCTGAGTCCTGGAGATCAAATTTAGGTCGTCAGACTTGACAGCAAGTACCTTTAACTGATGAGCCATCTTGCTGCTTCCTTTCCCCCTTTCCCGCTCATAATTGGGATCAAAGAAAGGCTTGATGCATGACCAGCAAATGCTGTACTGCTTAGCTACAGTTTACATTTCACCTTTTTACCCCGAGACAGCCTTGGCTGTCCTGGATGGAACTCGCTCTGTAGACCAGGCTGGCCTCAAACTCAGAGATCTGCCTGCCTCTGCCTCCCGAGTGCTGGGATTAAAGGCTTTTGCCTCCATTGCCCAGCTACATTTTGCTTTTTAAGCTATAGACATGTACTACTTCCATAAAACTATACATTAAGCTAGATGTGATGGCACACACCTTTAATCTCAGCATTCTTGAATTCTTGAAGCAGAGGCAGGCAAATCTGAGTTTAAGGCTAGCCTTGTCTTCATATCGAGTTCCAGGCCAGCCTGAATGACATAATGAGACCATGTCTCAACAAAACAAAATAAACAAGCACATAATTACACACACACACACACACACACACACACACACACACACATACATTAAACTTAAAGAGAGGAGAACCATTGAATTGAACACTAGTAAGAAAAGTGGAAGATGCAATTATGGAAAACCACTTTTTGCAGTTGCTAATGAAATAAGTCTAAGCAATGATGTCCGTGGCTACCACTATTAGCAGGTAGCAAGGGAGTGTGAATCGTAATTGGCCACTAGTTGATTACTATTATGACCATATTTGAAAATTTTCCATAGTAAAGACTTAGGCAGAACAAGACACCAACCAAGAACAAAAATGCAGTTAGTGGAGACTCCAAGGAGATTGCAGGTACAGAGGGTCTACTCTGTTCATCCCACCCCGTTCCCTAGTTAGCACACACTTACACTGCCACTGTAGGGGCTCTGCTCTCCCCTGCACCTGTGCTCTCCCCTGCACCTGTGCTCTCCCCTGCACCTGTGCTCTCCCCTGCACCTGTGCTCTCTCTCCTGCACCTGTGCTCTCCCCTGCACCTGTGCTCACCCCTGCACCTGTGCTCTCCCCTGCACCTGTGCTCACCCCTGCACCTGTGCTCTCCCCTGCACCTGTGCTCACCCCTGCACCTGTGCTCTCCCCTGCACCTGTGCTCTCCCCTGCACCTGTGCTCTCTCTCCTGCACCTATGCTCTCCCCTGCACCTGTGCTCTCTCTCCTGCACCTGTGCTCTCCCCTGCACCTGTGCTCTCCCCTGCACCTGTGCTCTCCCCTGCACCTGTGCTCTCCCCTGCACCTGTGCTCTCCCCTGCACCTGTGCTCTCTCTCCTGCACCTATGCTCTCCCCTGCACCTGTGCTCTCTCTCCTGCACCTGTGCTCTCCCCTGCACCTGTGCTCTCTCCTCTGCACTTGTGCTCTCTCCCCTGCACCTGTGCTCTCTCCCCTGCACCTGTGCTCTCTCCCCTGCACCTGTGCTCTCTCCTGCACCTGTGCTCTCTCCCCTGCACCTGTGCTCTCTCCCCTGCACCTGTGCTCTCTCTCTCCTGCACCTGTGCTCTCTCTCTCCTGCACCTGTGCTCTCTCTCCTGCACCTGTGCTCTCTCCCCTGCACCTGTGCTCTCTCCCCTGCACCTGTGCTCTCCCCTGCACCTGTGCTCTCTCTCTCGCCTGCACCTGTGCTCTCTCTCTCCTGCACCTGTGCTCTCTCTCCCCTGCACCTGTGCTCTCTCTCCTGCACCTGTGCTCTCTCCTCTGCACTTGTGCTCTCTCCCCTGCACCTGTGCTCTCTCTCCTGCACCTGTGCTCTCTCTCCTGCACCTGTGCTCTCCCCTGCACCTGTGCTCTCTCTCCTGCACCTGTGCTCTCTCTCCTGCACCTGTGCTCTCTCCCCTGCACCTGTGCTCTCTCTCCTGCACCTGTGCTCTCTCTCCTGCACCTGTGCTCTCTCTCTCCTGCACCTGTGCTCTCTCTCTCCTGCACCTGTGCTCTCTCTCTCCTGCACCTGTGCTCTCTCTCCCCTGCACCCGTGCTCTCTCTCCTGCACCTGTGCTCTCTCTCTCCTGCACCTGTGCTCTCTCTCCCCTGCACCTGTGCTCTCTCTCCCCTGCGCTCTCTCTCCCCTGCACCTGTGCTCTCTCTCCCCTGCACCTGTGCTCTCTCTCCTGCACCTGTGCTCTTTCCCCTGCACCTGTGCTCTTTCCCCTGCACCTGTGCTCTCTCTCTCCTGCACCTGTGCTCTCTCTCCCCTGCACCTGTGCTCTCTCTCCTGCACCTGTGCTCTCCCCTGCACCTGTGCTCTCACCTGCATCTTTGCAGCCAGCTTCTGGATCTCCAGGCCCAGCTGCTGCTCCACCTCCGGGGTTCGGGTTGCCTCTGCGGCCAGGCTGGACAGCTCTTCCACTGCTTGCAGTAGAGGCTTTAGGTGGAGACAGAGAGTGAGGGCTCAGTTCAGGCCAGGCTGCTCCCCTCCCTGCTCCCGGGCCACTCACAGGCAAGTCCTTTTGCGTCAGGAGCAGGAAGGAACTGGGGGCCCATGCTGCCAGGTACTGCTGCGCTCTGCCCAAGAACCAGAGCACGGTGGTCTGCAGGGTACAGAGCCCCAGAGCGACAGGTGCAGGACCTGGAGGGGAAGAGGTCCACAGGCTCCCTTCAGGAGAAAGCCAGCTGCAGAACAGAGGGAAGGAAAGAGATGTCAACTGCTCTACCTCGTACCCCGTTCCACGCCCTTCTCACCTGGAGGCAGACACAGGCTACGTTCTGACCTCGGCTCTCGAAGGGCGTCCAAGAGTGGAGGGAAAAGGCGCTGCAGCAGCTCAGCAGTAGGAGGTAGTGGAGCAGGGCCGCTCTGACCCGTCAGGGATGACCCCAAGGCCCGGCAGAACCCTGGAAGGGCAGAATATAGTCTGAAGGGGGAGCAAGCTGACCCTCAGGCCACCCCCAATGTCCCTTTCTCCTCACCGTGGTCCCAGCTCCAGAGGAGAGACTGATGAAGCAGGATGTCACACACAGACCGCAGCTCCTTCTCACACTCTTGAGGCAGGGGTGCTAATGGGGGAAACAATGGGAGCCTGAAAACAAAGCCTCCCTGTTTACAGCCCCTGCCTACTCCTGATATGTCCTCTACCACTCAATCAGGGGTGGAAAGTCAGGCACCGTGGCTCTCAGCCCGTGGGAAGCTGAGGCAGGAGTTCGAGGCCAGTATGGACTACCTAGTAAAAACCTACCTCTGAACAAAACAAAGACGGGTGGGAAAGGTGGCCTCGGAAACCTTAACCTATAAACTCAGGAAAGTTCATTCTAAAGGACCTGCGCTTGCTGACAGGCCAAAGGTGAGTGAGCCGACTAGGATAAAAGGAGAGAGATACCCTCACCACAACCCCCAAATGCCAGCTTGGGTTCCTCACTCACCTTGACACAATGCCTGACGCAACTGTTGTGCCACTGCTCTGGGGTCCCCCCAGGGTCCCACGCTTAGGTCCAGACTCTGAGCACAGGCTGCCCACAGCAAGGTCCAGTACTGGCTCCACAGGGCTCCAGGCCCTCCAAGCCTCAGTCCACTGCTGTCGGTGCTAGCCACACCCCCTATTAGACCCAGCAGCCCTGGCAGCAGCTCTCGCTCTGCGTCGCACTGCCGACGGAGTTGGTCTCGCAAGCCAGATCCGCCAAGGGCCTCAGCCAGCCTATGTGCCACCTGACAACCCCGCTCTGCAGCCAGGAGGTGGAGCACACGGGCCGCGGGGAATGGGCGCGCGGCCCCAGGGACGCAGCTCACGGCTTGTCCCTGTAGCTTGTGGTAGAAGGGAAGGGCCAGCAACAGTTCGGCTAGCTGGGACGTCAGGCCCAGGCTAGCGGGTGCCCGGCCTAGGGCGCGAAGCTGCATCTGGATGGCAGCATCCAGACGCTGGGCTGCTAGCCCGACGGGGCGAGCCAGGAGAAGCGTCTCCGTGGGGTCCCGGAGGCCGAGGCGCAGAGCCGACCCACGCGAAGGGCACAGCTGCAGGTCGCGATGCAGCTGCTGCAGGGAGAGCGCACTGGCCGACGAGCTGGAGCGGAGTAGCCTCACGACCGCCTGCAGGTGGCGGGCGTAGTCCCGGGCCCGCAGAAGCTGCTCCCGCTCGCGGTGCAGACGGAGCAATGCGGTCCGGAGGCGCTGCAGAGTGAAGGGCATCGGGCCGCTTGCCGGGGCGGGCTCCCACGGCTGTCTGTCGGAGTCCGGGCGCGGGACGCTCCCGGCAGCCAGCAGCCCCGGCCCTCCGCGACTCGCCTCGCCCCGCTCATTCCCAGCACCCACGGGATGCGCCCACGACGGGGGTACGTTAGAGAGGGGAGGCAGAAAGCCACCGGAGCGGGGCGCCCGGGCCATGGCACGGCGAGTCCCAAACGAACCTAACGCCCGCCACCGCCCGCATCCCGCGGCACTCCACACCCGCGGGCGCCTCGACTCACCAGCTTGCAGCCGGAAGTTTCGTGGCTTCACTCGCTCTCCGTAGCTGCGGCGTCTGCCCCTAACAAAGATGGCTGCCTGCTCGTTCTTTCCCGGCCTCTAGCGGGAACCAAATTCTAACCGGACTTTCACTTTCCTGTCACCGTTGACGGGAGGTGGCGCTGAAGCCAAATGTTGTAGGGCGAGTCAAGTTAGGTGAGTGGTGTGACCAGACCGTAGGAAGCTCAGGAAGAGAGGCCCCTTGAATCTACCAGGGTCTGGACATTTTCAGTAGAATTTTAGGCTTCAGGTGGAGGGCTCTGGCCTCTCCATCTCCGGCTCCCTGACGTCACCTTCCTTCCCTGAGGTCTGGCTGACATCTGGGGCCCCTGTGGTTCCCGACTTAGCAAGGAGTTTCGGTACCACAGAAAAGAGGAAAGCGAGACCCTGGCTTCCTTTGCCCTGATCATCGTCTTCATGATTGTTGGTGGGTTTGTGGTTGTTTTGTTATGTTCTCTGCTCTTTGAGTTTCACTTTGTATGTTCCTGGCTAACCTGGAACTCGCCATATAGACCAGGCTGATCTCGAACTCACAGTGGTCTGCCTGCCTCTGCCTCCTCTGCTGAAGTTAAGAGTGCGTTTGTGTCATCACGGCCAGCCTCCGGCAAGATGTTATGTTTTGAATTAGCGGCGGGCTTTGGGAACCAGCAGGTTCGGGCCCTACTCATAAAGATCTTAAGCAAACGGACAGCAAGGGACCCTCAGGCTGCTGCTGATATAATGCTCACAGCAGGCAAAACTGAGCATTTGAGGGTCTCATGGTTGAGGACTCAGCAGTGGTTACACGTGCCTTTGGAAAGATACTGCGAACACAGGACATTTTGAGCAAAAACGCGGAAGCAAGGAAAAGAGAGTATCACTACAGCCCAGCACTCAGGAGGCTGAGACAGGAGGATTGTCATGAGGTAGTCGATACCTGGCCTACATAGTTTCAGGCTAGCCTGGGCTACAGTGTGAGACCAGTCTCTGGCAGTGGCTTGAAAGGCCTCAAGGGTTTAGATTTCCTGACGTATATGGTACAGTTACTGAGGGAGAGACAAAAGCTTCGGATATGGGGACACTGGCTGGCTAAATTTCCGGGTACCTTCCTGGTCATTTCCTGATTTATTTCTAGAATCTCAGTTAACAAGTCCTCAGGCGAAGGATACAGGTCACATAGAGAATTGGACCCAGCCTCAGACTCATGAGCGCCCACCCACAAAGTCAACAAGTCTAAAAATTAATTAATTGAAGTTGAAGAGATGCCTCCACTCAGGCAGAGAACCCCGGTTCAATTCCCAGCACCCACATCAGATGGCTTGAAACAGACTGCAGCTCCAGTTTCTGGGGGGTCTGATGTGTCTGGTCTCTGAAGGCACCTGCACACCTGCACATGCCACCCCCCAGATACATATAATTAAAAAATAAAGTAAAATCTTGAAAAGTTAGTTATCATTTATTTGGTTGTTTTTTTGGTTCATAACACAAACCTGTCTGCTTAGTAAAAAAATCTTGAGACTCTTTTTATAGTCCTCCTTTTATCTCACACATTCACTAGAATAGTGTTTATTTGTTTGTTTGTTTTTGAGAGGGCTGGTGAGATGACTCAGCCAATAAGGGCACTTGCTTCCAAGACTGACAACCTAAGTTTGATCCCTGGAACCCACATGGTGGAAGGAGGAAATCACACACACACACACATACACACACACACACACACACACCCCAATAATAATGAATAAAATAAAACCTCTTCTATTCAATGACTTAGCAGTATCGAGTGGCACTACCAGTCACACCTAACACAGTCTGTCACATATGAGATGTATAAACAGGAAGTAGAGTGGAATTAAGAGGTTTCTCTTTTTTAAAGGAGTGATAGAGACAGCCTCCCTGATAATGTGACGTTTAAGCCAAGATCTAAAACGGACAAGAGAGCCAACCCATTTGCCTGGGAAAGAATATCCCAGGTGGAGGACATAAGACATGCAAAGTCACAGATGGTGTGTTGTAGGAACTTCACAGGTATTGAGCTGTCTCAAGGAAAGCTCTGGACAGTATAGAAATAGATTGGGCTTCAGTTACAATGGCTGCCACCACCAAGGGTCATTTGGTAAGAGAAACCTTAATGTCATTACGTAAGAGAAGCCTTAGTAAATAGGAAAAAAGATGAGCCCACAGTGTTCCTAAAAAGGCTTAAGAGTCAGATGAAAAAATACTTGAGATTAAACATGAAAGAGCCTTTGGGATAAGGGATGCTAAAATTACACTTTGTAACTAACCACTGAGCAGACAGACTGGAAAAAAATGAGAAAAGATGGAGGGTTAAAGAGGTGGGAACAGAGTTATTCCGTGCCACGCAAAAGGTCTGTGCAGGAAGGGTCAAGGAAAGACACAGCAAAAAGCTTAGATACTGTTGACAACCATAAATCAGACTAATGAGGGTAGGCAAGGCTCCAGAAAGTCAAGGTCCAAATCACCAGAGAAGCCTCAAAGGGAGTAAGACCGAAGAGAGACTCCAGGGAGGAAGAAGAAATCCACTGTTAAAATGGAGGGCCCAGGGGCATTCCAAGAGCCAATGTCCTGTCTTAGAAAACAAGAAATAGCTGGGGCGGTGGTGGCACACACCTTTAATCCCAGCACTCGGGAGGCAGAGCTAGGCGGATCTCTGTGAATTGAGGCCAGCCTGGGCTACAGAGTGAGATGCAGGAAAGGAGCAAAGCTACACAGAGAAACCCTGTCTCGGGGGAGAAAAAAAAGCAAAAAAACCAAAAACCAAAAGAAGAAGAAAAAGAAGAAGAAGAAGAAGAAGAAGAAGAAGAAGAAGAAGAAGAAGAAGAAGAAGAAGCAGTTAGAAATGGGGGTTGGAGCCAGGTGGTCGTGGCACACACCTTTAATCTCAGCACTTGGGAAGCAGAGCTCTGTGAATTCGAGGCCAGCCTGATCTACAGAGTGAGCTCCAGGACAGGCATCAAAACTACACATAGAAATCCTATCTCGGAGGGGGGGGGGGAGAGAAAGAAAGAAAATGAGAAATAGTACCCCCCATCAGTGAGAATTAAAATACAGTAATAAATGTCTTTCTCATCTAAAATTTCAATTACAGAGTTAACATGCAGAAATTTTTTTTTTGTCTCTGGATGTGCTTTCTTTTCTGCAAGGTTGTATTCCCCAGCATCAAGGTCATTTTGATAATATGTCAAAGCTCTTGCTAGAATGTAAATATTTTTTTTCCTAACCAGGGGGAGAAAGAAAAGTAAAAATTGGAGCAAAGAAAAGGCTTGCTTAAGACTTCCAAAGAAAAAAGTCTGGTGGTTAAAAGTAGGTGTGCAGCAGGGTGGTGGTGGCATATACCTTTAATCCCAGCACTGGGGAGTAGAGTCAGGTGGGTCTCTGTGAGTTCGAGGCCAGCCTGGTCTACAGAGCGAGTTCCAGGACAGCCAGGGCAGAGAAACCCTGTCCTAAAAATCCAAAAAAAAAATTGTACAGGTAATCTTAATTTGTTACAAGGTGCCATGTATGTTATTTGGATTTGACTGTTATTAAGGAATGAAATAAGAAAGAGACAGTGAGTGGGTATGAGAGAATTGTTGGGAATAATCTAAGTATAAGGTCATATTTTTGTTAAAAGGGTAAAAAAGAAATGGGAATATTTTGGACAAGGGTGGATTTTTTTTATGGTAAAAAAAAAAAAGGATTTTATTCTAAGAATGAAAAATAAGCAAGGGAGCCAAACAGTGAAAGCCTAAAGCCAAGTCCCGGAGAGTCTGAATAAACTGTACAAAGATGATCTATAGGTTGGTTGGTTAAAATTTATTAAACTTTCTAAGATTGGATTGCAAGGATGGCTCAGCTGTTAAAGGCACAGGATGCCCTTAAAGAGAACCTAGGTTTGACTCCCAGGACCCACATGGTGGCTCACAACCATCCACAACTCTGCTTCCAGGGGGTCAGAGCCCTTGTCTGACCTCCACAGACATGAACCATGCTTATGGTGCACCTACATACATGCAAGCAAAACACTTAAACAAATAAAATAAAATAATAAATAATAAATAAAATAAATACATCTTTAAAAAAAACCCAAGGTTATACTGTAGTTAGAATTTTCTTTGGGCCACCAACCAGCTCCCAAATAAAGACATGTAGACTTATTATTAATTATGAATGCTCAGCCTTAGCTTAAGCTTGTCCCACTAGCTCTTTTAACTTAATTTAACCTGTTTCTTTTATTTATTTATTTTATTTTTTATTTTTTTAATTACATTTATGTTATTCATTAATTACACTCATGATATTAATTACATTTGTGGTATTCATTGGTTACATTCACAGTATTCATTCAATAATTATGTTTATGATCTTTATTAATTACATTAATTGTATTGATTTATTACATTCATGATATTATGTCCTGATACTACTGTCCATTTGTGGGTTTTCCATCACACAAAACAGAGATTCTGTACTTAGGAAATCATTGCTCTATATTCCTTTCTTCTCCATCTGGAGATAACGTCTAATCTTTCTGTCTCTATGAATTTGTATATTCTATATATGTCATGTAATACAATTCTATAGTATTTGTCCTTTTTTTAAATGCAAAAACATTTTATGTACAATTGCAGGAGAAATAATACACAGATAGCTTGAACATAAAAACAGGTGATAATTCAAAAGTCCAGGGGTATTTTAAACAGTAAAATATTTTCTCTGTAGAAAATAGTAAAAATGATAACATTTCCCAATAAGCCCTTTTAAGCCAAATGATAGCTGAATTATACATATAAATATTGATTAGATTCTGTGATACAGAAGAAACCTATCGTCATCTGTTCAGAGAGCTATGTTTTACTTAAGTTGTGTAAGTGAGATTTCTATTCATATTCCCCTTCACTTTTGATTTACAGCAGACATTTTTCTATAGGCTAATCCATAATCTAAAAAGATTTTGACCTCCCCTCCTGAAAGTATGGCCAGCATTTTCTTTCATCAGCTTGATACAGTACAAATTCTTATCCTAATAGTGAAATGTTTCACTAAAGTTTGCCCAGTGATTGGGTAAAACCAAAACTTATTATAAGCCACATTCATCCTAGGGTCCCTCCTGCTAGGTAGCCTCCCTGGATCTGTGGGTTGCAGTCTGATTGTCCTTTGCTTTATATCTAGTATCCACTTATGAGTGAGTACATACCATGTTTGTCCTTCTGAGTCTGGGTTACTTCACTCAGGATGATTTTTTTTCTAGTTCCATAATTTAACCTGTTTCTGTTCATCTATGTTTTGCCTTGGGTTTTTTTTTTTAACCTTTCTTTCATTCTATATGTCCTTATTTCCTGCTTCTTGTCTGTCTGGCCCCTGGCATCTCCCTGGTGTCTCTTTTTCTTTCTTCCCCTGAGCTTAAATTCCTCCTCCTCCTCCTTACTTTCCCTGCCCAGAAGTCCTAACTACACCTCCTCCCTTACAATTGGCCATTAAGCTTTTATTAGACCAATCAGTTGCCTTAGGCAGACAGCAACACATCTTTACATAATTAAAAAAATATTCTACAACATACATAAATGCAACACATCTTTGCATAGTTAAACAAATATTCCACAACATTATACTGATCAACTTGTGATAATATTTGCAAAAACTGGCTTTAAAGAACAAAAGTGTATGTCTAATCTAGATAATTATCTACTGTTTTTGTTTTTGTTTTTTGTTTTGTTTTGTTTTTCTGAGACAGGGTTTCTCTGTGTAGCTTTGGTGCCTGTCCTGGATCTTGCTCTGTAGACCAGGCGGATCTTGAACTCCTGTGTGCTGGGATTAAAGGCGTGTGCCACCACTGCCCAGCTAATTATCTACATTTTTGCTGCATTAGACTTTAACCAATTGGGGAAACCAAGTCACAGCAAAATCAAGATTTGTGTAAAACTGTTGGGTTGTTTCAAATTGTCTAAGCTTTACCTAACTGTGACACAGACTTAAAATGGCAAGGTTGGTGAGGCTGTCCTTCTCGGTGTTCAACAGAGCTTGGGCACCTACACCAGTGAGGGTAAGAGAGTCCAAGAAGAAATAGAGTGTCTTGGCCTTTGACCTCCAAGGTCAGCTAGGATGCAGGGGACATTGAGAACCCTCTGATAAGTCACTTGTCCTCTTGATTGAAGAGGCCATGGAGTCTTCAGAGATCAGACCATAACCAGAGCAATCCTACACAAAGAAAGAAAGTCACAGGGGACCTCAGGCTATGTCTGATCCAATACTAAGGTCAGAATTATAGGAGGGTCTACACCATTGCTAACCAAGTGTGTGCGAGGTGCCTAACTTACCAAGGGAGTCCCGGAAACCGGCCAGATTCATTAGGCTCCTCCCTTCCCTGGCATGGTTACGCAACAGGGACTGCTGAGAGTCACTCTCAGCCAAGCTGAACTGCAGGCAAGAACAGAGAGACGAGATGATCTCACTGGAGGAGGCTCAGACCAACTGAGCCACCTGCAAAGGACGCTCTTCAAGCCGGTGAGCTCCTGCAGGCTGTGCAGTGTGCTCCGGACGTCCAGCTTTCATGAGCTGTCACCCATGCTGGGGTAGTACAGCTGTCACTGAGTCATTTCTGCTCCTGCAAATAATCCCAGTAGCACTCATTGGCCCGCCAAGTTGTGCTTTGGTGGCATCTGTACATTGGTCTACTGTGGGCTCCCTCCCCGGGGTGAGCAACATTGTTCACATGCCCCCAGGAACAGGATAATACAACAAAGCCCCGTATTTCCACCCCAGTGTCCTCCACCCAATCCATGCCATTCAAGTGTAGTGGGTAGCCATTCCAGCTTTGATCTGGAAGTTCCAACCCCCATTGAGACTTCGGCAACTGTCACGCCTACAAGGCGGGGCCAAGAGACGCGCCTGGGGACCCGAGATCTGGATCGGCGGGCGCTCTCTCTGTTGCGGGACCCTGGATAGTGGAGGTGGACCGAGCAGAGCTCCAGAGAACACCGCTGGACTGCGATACACCTTCCCCAGACCCCGCGACCTACCTATCCCTTCATTTGTAAGTTATGCCATTAAATAAATCTCCTTTTAACTACGTGGAGTGGCCTTAATAATTTCACCAATATTCAAGATTACTTCTCAGGGTTTGCCTAGCCCCGCCCTCTCTTTTCGGTTTTGTTATTTGAGACAGGGTGACTACGAAGCCTCAGCTGGCCTGGAACTCACAATGTAGACTAGACAGCCCTCCAGCTCATCATAGGAAGCAGCCTCTGTGATGGAACTGAAGGTGTGTGCCACCATGCCGAGCTTGCCTCCCTCGATTGTTCTCTTGTTTTCTCCGTATTTCCTCTCCTTCTGGCCGGCCGCCTGCCCTCCTTTCCCCAGGAAGCCAGTCTCCTGTGGGAGACACTGGTGGCAGAGGAGGAGTGCATCACACAGAAAGTCAGAAGAAACAACACCAGAAGTTGGCTCTAGCGTGTATGCGTTGGGGTGGGGGTCCAAAAGGACTTTGGAGTGGAGGTCCAGAAGGACTTGGCAGGGGATAGGTGGGGCTCACTGCGGTAGGGCCCCTTGCAGGTGGGTGGGCGCAAAGGGCTCGGGGACCATCAGCAGTGGCAGCAATCCCACCGCGTGCTTGACTGGGACCTGCTTCTCCCTCACTGTGGGGCCTCTGGCGGGTGGCTTTCTTGTCTGCTTTTTCACCTGTCAGATGAGAATAGTGGGGCTGGAGAGATGGCTCA